CCACCAGTCAGTCACACCCACCTAAGAGACACGCCCACAAGTCACAACCACCTAGCAGACACACCCACCCATCAAACACACCCACCTAACAAACACACCCACCTAACAGACACACCCACCAGTCAGTCACACCTGACTAACAGACACGCCCACCAGTCAGTCACACCCACCTAACAAACACACCCACCAGTCAGACACACCTGACTAACAGACACGCCCACCAGTCAGTCACACCCACCTAACAAACACACCCACCAGTCAGACACACCCACCTGTGTGTCTGTGTCTCATGGAGAGCAAGCTGGGGTATGCGAAAAAGACAAATTCCTAATGCAAGAAATTGTACAGGGCTAATAAAGTGATCTTAACAAACATGCCCACCAGTCAGGCACACCCACCTAACAGACATGCCCACCAGTCAGACACACCCAGCAGTCTGGCACACCCACCTAATGGCTATTCCCACCAATCAGCCACCCACCTGTCAGACACAGGTGGGAAGAGGACACAGGAGCATTAGCACTGATGAGAGGAGCAGGGTACCTCCCCCTGTTGTTGCTGGAAGTGGCTGAAGAAAGCCAGGCTTTGCTAACATCTACTCTATTCAGGGAGCATCCTGAGTCCCTAGCAACTAGCAACTGGACCATAAGGCTCAATCTGTGTGCTAGACAAGCACATAAGCAGAATTAACCACACAGAAAAGCCCTCATGGAGGCATTTTTAAGAGCAGAGTAAACCAGAAAAGATTTTAAAGTAAGAGATCAGATGCTGGATACAGTAGAAACATGGACTGTGGGGAACCTGAGTTTTACTGGGCACAGATTTGCCTCACTCTTTGCTTCAGATCTGTCTTTAGTTTATCCTATATTACCTTTAACAATGTACTAACAGGAGACCTTGAGTTATTTTAAGCTCTTAGGTGTTAATTGCTAAACTGAATGAATTATTTAGCCTGTCCTTTTGTTACAGCCTCAGCGATGACAGAAAGATTTCTAATTTCAATAAACCCTGCAGGAGCGTCTCTCCATTTCCCACTCCTGTCACTGCCCGCTCTGTCATCCCTCCCTTTCTGCCTCCTCTGCCTCCTTCTTTTCCTCTCCGCCTTCCTCTGCTCTCGTCGCCCAGCTCCTGCCCACACAGACCCAGTCTTGGCACAGCAAGGCTGCGTGTGCGAGCAGCTCCCCTCTCCCGTCTGCGAGAGGCCCTCCAGCTCACAGCTGTTTGCAGAGGTGGCCTGCCGAGCCTTGTGGGATGTCTACAGCAGAGCGCAGACTGCCTCGGACTGGGCCGGCTCCACAGGCACACAGGTGGCTTAACTGCCGACTAATGGCGCTAACTAATGAACCTTTGGGAGGGATGAAAGCAGCTGACAGCTAATCCCGACGCAATGGCCTCAGTTTCCATTTACACCACACGTCACCCTCTCCTCTTCCTCGCTCTTTTTTTGCATCCCTCCTCCAACCCCATCTCCACCTTTGCAGCTGCCCCCTGGGCAT